GTTCTCCTGTGTGCTTTACTTTGTTCCTCAAAGTATTTTGTCTCTATGAAATGGATTTCTTGTAGGATTTCAAGGACCTGAAATGTTTGTTTTATGAATGAAGAGAGGTGCAAGAGAACTTACTCTTGTCTCTTGTGGAAATGGGAGGTAAATAGCTACAGGTGTCATAAGCTTACCTTAGATTGGCCTTTTCTCCTGGAATGTAAGTCTTTGGAATGACTATTGGACTGGGTTCGAGTCAGCCTGGCTACATCAGAATCACTGGGAGGAAGGCCCTTCTTCTCAAAATAATGATGCCCAGGCCCCTTCCCATTCTGTTGAATTCAGAAGGCTTAAGAGTGAGGCCTGGGCATATGTATATATTTTTTACCTTCTCCTGGTAATTTTTTGAAGGTGCTCTGGTGCATATTGAATGGACTCGAGGGTGATGAGTGTGCGTTGTTTTGTGAGGCTCGGTATAGTAGACCATTTATTACTTTTATGTTCTCACTCCATTAGACAAAGTTTCTCTCTCTCTCTCTCTCTCTATCTCACACACACACCCTTGAATCCCTTACTGAATATTCTGTTGAATAACACAGAAGGGATCCCCACTGCCATCAAGTCGATTCTGACGCACAGTGACCTTATAGGGCAGATTAGAACAGCTCCTTACGGTTTCTGAGCTATGAATTTTTTTTTTTTTAACAATTAGATGTTTATTAGGTCAGGTAACAGGCTACAATCCTAGATGAGCTGTGAGAGCGGACAGCCTCATCTTCCGTCTGAGGAGCAGCTGCTGTGCTGAAATCTCAGCGCTCCCGGTTAACAGCGCACTGCTCCTCCCCTGGTGCCACCAGGGCTCCTTAGTCATGAAAGAGGGTCAGTCCAATGGGGAAACTGTTTACAGACTTGGGAATCCAAGGAGACCCTGACAATGTACTCACAAGAAGGTTGATCATTCTACAAAGTCTCTTTGATAAACAGCTCAGGTGTCTTGAGAGATGTCTTTGTCTTTTTGTAGGATAAAGCCACTGCATGGGGAGCATTATAAGTGACTCTCTGTTTTCTCCTGGTAGGCAAGGAGGACACCATGAACTGGCAGACCGCCTTGTAGAAATACAGTACGAGCTGACGGACAGACTAGCCTTCTATCTCTGCGGCAGGAAACCAGGTGAGTGAGAGAATAACGTCCGCTCTCCACTCCAGTCTGTAAGCCTCTGGAAAAATACACACTCATTTTTATGACCGCCTTTGCCCTCGTGCATCTTCAAGAAAATTATGAATCAGAGTTTTTATTTGAAGTGCTAAGGTACCTGCTGAATTGCCAGTCATCTGTAAGACTTACAAAGTTGATCAAGTCTCCTTGACTTTTTAGCTTTTATAACTTTATTTAGCTCTGGAGAAGTAGCTGTTTGAAGGACCCACAACTCTAATGGCCAGAAACAAGATGCACTTGCCCATGCACCAGTTGAGTGGAAAAGCAAAGCAATAACTAATATAGTCACTGGAATAATTCCACCTCTATGGAATTGGGGAACGGGAGCCCCAAAGGGAACTTTGTTGTTTTTGGCATAGAACAAGGGTTGGAACTGACAGTCTGGGAGCAACAGCCAGCCTCTCATCTGCTTTTGTAAATCAAGTTTTGTTGAAGATAGCCACGCCCATTCACTCAGGTGTTGTCAGTGACTGCTTCTTCACCACAGAGGCAGAGTTTGGTAATTCCAGCCAAGATCGAGTGGCCATGAAACCTAAAGTGTGACGATCTGCCTCTTTACAAGAAAAGTTGGCCAACCTCTGTTGTAGAGCATTCTTCACTTGTTTGACATTAAAGAACTCAACGAAATAGCGTTGAAGGTTGACTGCAACAAAAAGATTATCGTTGTTAGGTGCTTTCTTTTATTTTTTACAATTTCCTTTTTTTTCAGTCTGTTTGCCTTTATTTTTCTTGACTTCTGGCATTGGTTCAGCTCTCCAGTGGGGTGTTGTTTAAGAATGGTACAGTCTAGCCTTGCTCCTGATCTTAGGAGAGAAGAACTCAGCTTTGCATCCTTAAGGATGGTGTTAGCTTTCTGTAGATACCTTTCACCAGAACTCAACTCAGCTCACTGTTTGAGCCAAAATAAACAAGTCGGTGTTGGAAGAAGTAATGCTTCTTAAAGGCAATGATTGTGAGACTTTGTCCATACTTTGGACATGTTGTCAGGAGAGACCAGCCCCTGGAAACGGCCATCATGCTTGGGGAAGAAGAGGGGCAGTGACAAAAGGAAGACCTTCGACAGGATGGTTCGGCACCGTGGCTGCTTCAATGGCTCAGGCGTAAGAACACTTGGAAGGGTGACGCAGGCCTGGGCGATGTTTCATTCTGTTGTCTGTGGGGTCGCTGTGAATCAGAGCCAGAAGCTCCAAATTAAATTATTAGCACTAAAGCTAGCAAAATGCACGTAGGTTCCATATGCTGAAAACTACAAAAGGCTAATGAGAGAAATCAAAGAAAACCGAAATACTGGTAAATGGCGACACACTTAATACAGTGAAGTTATCCAGTTCTCCCGAGTACAAGTTGAGACTGAATAGAACTTGAGGATTTGTCAGAGTTGTGGACTTGCTGATGGAGTAATTTACACGGGAAGGCAAAGGAACTAGAGTATCAGGGCAACTTTGAAAGGAAGAAGAACATGGGAGGAGTGCTGGAAAGCTGGGCAGTTCTCAGGACCATGTTTCACGTTACTCAGTGCTGGTGTAAGGATGAACACTGAAACTGTATGGGGACTCCTGAAAATGACCCACACCCATGTATTCCATTGATTTTTGACAAAGCTGCAAAGGTAATTCCATGGAAGTAGCCGTTTCAATATATGCTGTTGGCATTACCAGACATCCATGTACAGAGCAAACAAACTTTAGTCTCAACCACACATTTTTAATGAACCATAAATTGAACATTAAATAAGGAAGACCTAAAACTATGAAACTTGTGGAACCAAAAATAGAAAATCCCTATGATATTTGGAGCTTACGTAAGGGAATTTCAAAAAACTTTGGTAAAATGGAATTAAAAGATAAAAGTTTAATATATAAGCTATATTTGTCAATGTAAGTTCCATAAGTGCCAGACACTTTTATAAGGCATCCACTTGGTCCATCCCAAAAGACCAAGGGTTCTAGGAATTTCACCATGTCGTTGCAGTCTCTTTTACATTACTCAGTGAAGAGAAAAGGGTGTCCTAGTTTTTTGGGTTTTTTTAAGTCTCAAGAAATGAAAAGAAGTTGGAAGGCGCCACGTCAGGACTGACAAGGTGGGTGGATGCCTAGTGATTTCCTTTCACAGCTCTGGAAACGGCCTGGGCTTGATGAGGGACTGGACAGGAGCGCTGTCGTGTGAAGCAGGCTCTCCTGCACGTGCCTCCTGTGGTGATGCTTCCTGATAAGCAGATGCTGTCATTCTTTGGCCCTCCAGAGAGCCAGCAAGCAAAGTGCCGGGGACATCCCGGTTTAGGAGACTAGATGTATGAATCAAAGGGCCAGCTCTAGGGGGACTTTCTGTGGACTGTAGAGAAAGGTCTTTGGCTCTTTAGCTTCTGTTTCCTGGTTCCTGGGGGATCTCCATGTGTCTTGGCTTCTATTTTACCCCATCTTTCTTCACTAGCTTGCATACATCTCCAAAGAGATAGATTCAAGATAGATTAATCCTGCCTCATTAACATAAAGGTGACCCATTCCCAAATGGGATTATAGCCATGGGCATAAAACCTAAGCCTGCTGCTGTGAAGTTATTTCTGACTCCTCGAGCCTATAGGATAGTGGCTAGGTTTTCCAACACGTATTTTTGTACGCCCTAAGTCAGTCCATAATCCAATACAAACTGGACAAAACCAGTGTCCTGCTGAGAAGTAGCACATGAAGCTCAGTATCATTAGCCATCCCAAAACAAAAAGACCAGACTCACTGCCTTGGCGTCGACTTCTCTCCTGTGTAAATTAAAACTACTTCTACTAGAATGACTGAAGTAAGTGTACAGAAACTTTGCAATGCTAAAAGGAGCCCTCTTGGCATAGTGGGTTATACTTGGTGCTACTAACCTTCAGGTGTTCAAAATCACCAGCTATTCTGGGGGGAAAAGATGAGATTTTTTTTGCTTCCATAAAGATTAATAGTCTTGAGTGGTTCTACTCTGCCCACCTTCTAGGTTAGCCATAAGTCGGTATCGACTCAGTGACAATAAGTGTTTAAAAAAAAAAATTAGTGTTTCGTTTTGTTTTTAACAATGCCAAGTGCTGGGGAAGGGGTAGAACAACTTCAGTGAGCTTCCATGCTCCGTCAACAGCAAACTGATGCAGCTACTCTGGCAAAAAGCCTGGCCATTTGTGCAGTGCTACCTGTGTGCTTACCATATGTCCCTGCAGTCCTGTACAATGCTACCTGTATGCTTACCATATGTCCCTGCAGTCCTGTACAATGCCACCTGTATGCTTACCATATGTTCCTGCAGTCCTGTACAATGCTACCTGTATGCTTACCATATGTCCCTGCAGTCCTGCACAATGCTACCGGTATGCTTACCATATGTCCCTGCAGTCCTGTACAATGCTACCTGTATACTTACCATATGTCCCTGCAGTCCTGCACAATGCTACCGGTATGCTTACCATATGTCCCTGCAGTCCTGTACAATGCTACCTGTGTGCTTACCATATGTCCCTGCAGTCCTGTACA